GAGGCGGCGCCCGCTCCGGTGCGGTCCTCAGGCCGCCACTCAGCTTCCTCCCGACCGCGCCCGCTCGGCCTGACTCAGCCTCCTGCTCGCCCCAGCCTTGCACGGGCTCACACAGACACGTGTGTACAAATGCGTGCAAGGCACACACATTCACACGGCCACACATACAAGAACACCTGTGAAAACACACATACCTGTGTGTGCAAACACACCCACACTCAGACTCGTATGTGAGACAGGCGGGCACACATGCAAACACACAGACACAGGCGCGGTGCACGCACACGCACACACACCCCAGCCTGGGAGCCCAGCAGGCTGAGACTGAGGCATCCCGGGCCATGCTCCCTCTACAGCTCCAGCAGAGACCCTCCTGCCTCTGCTTCCTCCCAGGGCTCCAAGTGGCCCTGGGCGGAGGCCCCATCACTTCAGTCTCTGCCTCTGTCTCCACACGGCTGCTCCTCTGTGTCTGTACCTCCTCCTCCGTCTCCTGAGGACGCTGCCATTGCGGTCAGGAGGCTGACGCAGGACGGTCTCACCTCCAGATCCTCCTGTGGCTCCCTCTGCAGGGGCCCAGCTTGCACTCATGTCCCAACGGGGTGCTTGTCGATGTGGACTTGGGGGCCCCGTCCCTCCTGATGACACGAGAGGGCCCGTGTGTGAAAGGGCACCGATGGGAACCGTGTGGAGTGAAATCTCGGGACAGGAAGACCACTGAGGCGCTGGGGTGGGCAGGTGTGGAAACGCCTGTGGGGTGCCGGGAATGTTCGAGAACCAGACGGGTGGTGTCTGCTCAACGCTGAACCACTCAGATTGCCCGGTTAAGATCATAGGAAATATGAAGCGAGCACTTTGGCTATTTGTTGACTGACTCACTGATTGGATAGCACTGGGGGCTGAACCCAAGGCCCTCGCCCTGAGGTCACTCTGAGTCTGCAAACTGCCCGAGTTGGGCTGGAACTCAGGATCCTCCTGCCTCAGCTTCCTGAGTGCGCGGGTGACAGGCGTGGCCACGGTCCTGGGGAGCCACACCTTAAAAACCATCACAGGCCTCACCAAGGGGAGGACGCCCAGACCAGCGACAGGGGTCGCTGTGAAGTCGGCACTGCAGTAGCGATGGGACCCGCCCCGTCCCGGAGGCCGAGGCAGCGCCATCTCTAGCCTGCCGTGTCCTTCCACACCCCAGA